ACCAAACAGCAAATATTTTGTCTCTGGCCCCAGTTTGCCAACCCCAAGTAGAAACCATCTGGACCTAATAGTTTTTCAACGGTTTTGAAAATATTGTTCAGTTCATGGAAAACTGTGCCCCTTTTCAAGCCAGCTTTCTTTAACGACTTTTTCACATTGGAAAAGTAGCAGCATTATTTCTTTTTTAATCCACTTTTTACAGACCTTCATCTTCTACCAGTGACAAGAATGACCATCCAGGAATTAACAATCCTATTGCTGAGCCTGAAAGGATAACGCTGGCACCCCTGAAATCCAGTCTGGAAAAGAGCTGCAACGCATCCAGCTTTGAAGAACCCTAAATGTTGCACAACTGTAGCACGGTTGTATCAGATGACTGAAATCCTTAAGCATGAAAAAAATGTTCCCCAGGCTTAAAGTGTACAAGTTTTTAGCTGTCATCTGGACACCAAAGACTTCAGCTTTTTAAACTTGTTTGCTTCCCCTTGAGCAGCCAAGTTCAAAAAGTGTCAGCAAAAAAACAAAGTTTTCTTTAAAAGAAAAAAAAAAGTTCACATATTGTCCGTGTTGTGAAATACTTCATCTTTTAAAATAACCTGCAAATGTAAAGCATTAACATCACAATTTACAGCAATGAACAAATAGCACTTGGGCTATTTTGATATCCAAGGAAAAGCACGTGACTCTTTTCTCCTAACACCTTAGGAAAAATCACCACATGTCATGCCTTCTTAACAACTTGCTAGATATTTTTTTCCCTCCACAGTGGATTCTGCTTCATAAATGTGTCTTTGGTAAGAGCACTGGCTTAGAACTCAGACAGCCCAGGATCCCAATTCCCCTCTGCTACTTAAGTTGTGTGACTTTAAGCAAATTATATGATGCTCTGTCTCAGTCTCCTTATCTGTAAAATGGGCTCATATAGTACTGACTTCATAGGATTATTGTCAGAATTAAATGGAGCACCACAAGGAAAGTGGAGACAATGGCCAATATTCTACCTCTCATTGTCTATGTGAATGGAAATATTGCAAGTCTTATCAGTAAACAAAGGATGCTGTGGCCATCAAGTCACCAACCAGTACCACCCGTCCCCACGCCGACAGTGAGCGGAGGGAACTCGGGTGCAGACAAGCAGGCAGCGCAGCCTCTGCAGCCACCTCCAGTGGTGCCCCCGAGGGGACTCAGGGTGAGAAAGAACAGGACACTGGCCCCAGACAGCTAAGGTGCGCCCAAAGGGATGGTCTCAGTGAGCCCAGACCTGTGCACCTTCCCATGCGTAGAAAAGTGCTAAAGTCTTTAACTTGAGGTGTCTGGTTTTCTTTAACAGTAATATTTGGATATTCCGACTACCTGGTTTTTATTGCAAAAACTCCTGTATATCCTGGCTCCTCCCCTACCTCTTCGGAGCAGTCCTTCAGAGCGAGCGATCTGAG